TTCTTTGGATAGACTGAATATATCACCGAAGAGCAATGAGAAAAAAATCGATTGTGAGCAACAGTCGCTACGTTTTATTTACTTATGTAAGGGCTACTCCATACTGTAAGAGTTAATGGAAAACGCGTCCTCTTTTTAAATTCTATTTTGTTCTCTACATACTTGTAATAATAAGATTTAATTATTATTTAATTTACTTAAATATTAAATTACAGTAATTAGAAATTTAGTGAGTTTGTCAAATCAAGCAGATGTTTATGTTTGGCTATCGATCAGTACGATCCAATGCCGTATAATTAATAATATTTAAAAAAAAATTTTTATATAAAAATCAAAAACATTATTTTCTACGAGTAATAATCGTCTTAAGACACCCAAATACAGCAGACAGCATAAAAATGTGAGTTACTCCAATAAAAAAAAACAGGTCTATTTAAAAAGCAATTTAATAAGTATATGTGTTCAATCAAAGTAATACTCTCAGCATTCTTAATCCCATACATAAGTTTTAAGTAAGTAGTCGAATTGTTTCAAATAATGCCTTTAGTATGCAAGAAGCTTTGTAAAGAGGATTTTCTGATTTTAGTTGGGATTTTCCACGAGTTATCTATGTCGATGTACGTTTTCCTTGAAGCGATTTTACTTTTGTTTCACTTGAAAACACGTTTGAATAAAAATAACAAAGTATTTATCAAGCTTTACAAGTCTTACACTAAGAAAGAAACTTCAACAATCGATCAAAATAAATGGTCTATAAATAAGGATTTAAAAGGAATATTTTCTCACTTGTTAAGATTTGAAATATCTAGCACATGTGGCGTAAGAATAGGTTACAGCCATTTCTATCATCGTTTATGTAATATATTGTTATGTCCTTAAACAAATGTTTTACGAAGGAACACCAAATATCTTAGATATTTTTATAAACACAACTTTTTGAAGATTTAAACTTGTTGAAGTTTAATAGCTATATAAAATAATTTTCGTATACAATTTTCACCCAAATAACTAATTATAGCAAAATCTTACTAATATTATAAATGTGAAAATTTAGCTGATGTCTGGATGTTTGTTACTCAATCACGCCAGTACAGCTGAACAGATCTAGATGAAATTTGGTACAAAGATAGATTACAGTCTGGAATACCACATAGGCTACTTTTTATCCCGGAAAAATGAACGGTTTCCGTGGGATAGATTTGTATTTGTTTTCCGCTAGTACTAAAAAAATACATATACAATCAGAATTATGATAATTAATTTAATTCTTTGTTAATGGCTTTTGTTTCAGTTAAACACAGGTCGTGCCACATGAATCTTTTATTTTAAAATGCAAAGATTATAACACATTGAAGATAATTTACGAAATTTGGATGCTACTAACTCTCGTAGAGTAGATCTAAAAGAAATAAAATTCCATCACTCCAGCGTACTAGAGAATAAATATAGAAAAAGTACTATAAAAATAGCGCGTCTTTATTTTCAATAAGTTGAAACAATCAAAATAAAAAGATGCGCTCACAACTGAACAATAAACGCTACTTAAAGAAAATTGTTGAAGTTTAAAAGAGATTTGGAAAATTCGTGCTCGTCGGGATTCCTAGAAAACGTAGCGTCGGTTCTAGCTATATCATTGTAGTGGGGAATGAACTCGGGTAAATCCTGGCTTACGAAACAATCCCGCTTAACCCCCACAGAGAGACGTATAGCTGCTGAGTATACATAGATATTTATAATTATTTTTCAGGTTTAGTTTAAAAAGGTAATTTAATATTTCTATCTTGTTACTTTAAACTATGGATTATGACGTGTTAGGTTATAAGAGTTTTGGAAATGTTGTTCTTTTTTAAAAAAAGGTTTTTTTTTTATTTATTTTCATTTAGACACTAGTCTATAAACAACATACATATACAACATAATTTTATATGTGTGCTTTTAGAAATAAGTATAATAAGTTAACAAAAATTTTACTGTTACATAATATAATGTATTGAGTACTAGTATAACAACTCCATTTGCGTTACATATAATAGAAGTTCGCCTACATGATGTGTGCACTTGAATCCTTTCAGGTAATAACCATGAGCAAAGTAAAAAACATACTCAGATACTTTTGCTTTTATAGTCCTAAACCCTCTGAGCTGTCACTGTCAAAATTGGCGTGTATTTAGACCATTTAGTCCGAAAACTATACGTCTAAAGAAAGGGCGAGGCATATAAACGAATAATTAATCAAAATAAAAGTAATTATCTAACCCTTGCAATTACCGTTTGTAAGGTTTTAACGTATAAATCTTATTAATCTGAAAAGGTAATTGATGCGTCTTAATTCAGATATTGCAGGGAATATAATATATATATAGTTTTAAAGATATGACGTGTCATTGTAATTTCTATTAGAATGTTGCAAGAGGGAGGGTACGCCATCTTTGGATTATTTTATTATGTGACATTTTTAATCAGCTTCAAAAAGTAAAAAAAATGAACAATACATTAAGATAATATGAATGCAAATCCTTAGCTTTAGTTATATTTATATATTCATATCTAAATAGATTTTCTTTGGTTTATGTCGGCTGACTCAATATCTGATTTCTAAGATACCTACTTATGAATGAAGAACTACATTTGGCTATCTTTTAATTTTAAGTATAATTAGTTTGTTTTAATTACCTTTTTATTTTGATTTAGATGATTACAAAACTGTTTTCTTTTTTAGTTAGATTTTATTTTATGCCAATATCGTTAACAGATGTTCTTTTCCCACGCAAACTTTTAAAAAAATTCTTTGTGTACATCTTTAACTCCCTTACAACATTGTTAGGTGTGTACAAAAATATTATAATTAAATGTCAGTAAGCTCTTTGTCTACTCTAAAATGTTACGCTACGGTTAATAAAATATTTTGTAAAAAAAAAACAACATGTGTTTTGGCTTGATTATATTTTAAAGTCAAATTAATTATTGCGGAAACTGTTTCTACGCTAATGCTTGATTATCGATTTGATTGCAAGTGGCATAAAAAAGAAAATTCATCATTCTTCAACATTGTAATGACATGGCATCGTAAAAAATGAGATTAGTTCTTATAATAAAACTTACTCATCTTACTAATACTATAAATATGAAAGTTTAGATGTTTGGATGGATGTTTGTTACTCAATCACGCCAGAACAGCTGAACGGATCTGGATGAAATTTGGCACAGAGATATATTATAGTCTAGAATAGTACATAAGCTACTTTTTATCGGGGAAAAACGTATGGTTCCCGTGCGATAGATTTGTTTCTGTTTTCTAGAGGCGAACCCGAGCGAAGCGAGGTTGAGCCGCTAGTATCTAATATTTATCAAAGGCTAAAAAGAGCACACATAATATTCATATCCTAAAGAATTTAAATCAAATAAGAACACGAATCCATTTCCCATCTCCAAAACTACATTATAATTTCAGAAAAGTAAGCTTTTCCAGACGTATACACATCAATTATAAATGGAACATTTAAGTAGATTTTGAAAAGTTTGAATTTAAAAGAGATTGCCATCTTCGAGCTGTTTCTAAAAGTTTTTAAATTTTCTTGTCAGTATCTGAAGAGTGAGCATCCGGTAAAACATTAATCATTCTGTCAAGCGAAAAAATTAAGAACGCAGTAGTATAAAATTCGGTGATGGATTATTGACGAAAATAATAATAAATAAAAAAATATGATGTCGCTAAATATGCTATTACATTAATTAGCTTACTTTAATTTATTTTTAAAAACAGATACACTTTTAAAATATTAATAAAAGTACTGTAACTTAAGTCGTATTTTTATTACAAGTATATAATAAACATGTATGAATTATATAATAAATACATGATGTGTTCATACTTTTATAATTGTTATTTTATTAATAGTTTTCACTAATAGCAATAGTTTAGATATAGAAAGAATATAGTTCGCAAGTAAACAGACTTCTATTAAAAAAAATCACCCGAAAATTATTTTTCAATACAGACAGTGCCCACCGTCTTTGTATAGGTTGAGCATGTGTTTCTCTCGCAGATATGACATATAGATTAATCTATCAGTTCGCTTTAATAGGATATCCTGATTCCAATTTCCAAATTGAAATTTACATTTCCCAGCCAACCCAAAATCTTTTAAGGGATGAAAGAGGAAATCTCTAAAAAATTTCCGCTACACCATCAGCTGTACCTAATATAACTAAACATATTTATTTATTAAAAACCTGCTCTGGGTTTCAACTATGTGCTCTTTGTAATACGCGAAAATATAGAATTATGTCCCCTTAATTGTGTTGAAAATGAATAGTTCAATAAAACTAATATTCAGATTACTGTCTAAGATCAGTTTTAATCTAATTTTGCCACCTTTTGCACATATACCAACATGGGAAAATACCATCGAAATTTTAGTCTTATACGTACAGCGATTAAATCTGGCTGTTACTTCAACAATCTATCACTTAGGTACATAAAATTAACATGAAAATATACGATACTATTCTATAACTTGTACAAAAATGGACAAAGAATTTACGACACAAATAAATATTCATTCTCGTACATTGATTGCCCACTAATCATAATTGACGCCACTTTTATCTATAAACTAACATCATTTGCATACCTACAGTATAATCTTATTGTCCATTGTTTTCTATTTTACTGTATCCAAATAAACATACTACCGCACCCTGATCTAAGTTAAAAATTGAATGATAATTTCAATTTCAATATTTGTTCTAAAACAAGTTTTTTTAAATTATTGAAACGTCGTGTGATGTAAAGCAATCAAATAATATTGTAGTATCGGGGAAATGAACTATTTAGTATCGCGAGGTTATCGTTCATATTAGTCATTCGACGCCGGCCTGTCGTTGTGTGTATATGTACGTAAAATGACACTCTGTTCACAAGTCTTTATGAAGGCGACATGCGTATTTTGCTGTTAGTTGTAATTTTGAATGTTTTGTGTTTTTGTGAAAGCAACGACATGATTGTTGGGGACACAGTGCACAGAAAGATGGTGTTCCACCAAAGAGTTAAAGATTTCGCGATACCCTTCAAGAAAAGGATAAAATCTTTAACTTATATTGATCCAGAAAAAAGAATTATCAAGGTAATATATTTATATAGGAATATTGTAGAAACGAGTGTTTATTGATTTTTTTCGTCTACTTGTAATATAAAAATACAAAATATATAAAAGAAAATATAAATATTTAACAATAAAGTATATACAATATACATACATATGTAATTTTGTGACTAACTTTTTAATTTTAATAATTTAAGAATACCTTTCGTATTCCTTAAATAAATTGAAGTAATTTAAAAAAAAGAATCTGTTTTGTTTTCTTAACGGCCTTATTTTTATTTAGCCCTAACACTGCGATATGGTTAAAACGTTCGTGTCATTTTAAAAACTATATCAGTAATTCCCTACAATTTAATTAATTCCCCTTTTCTTATATTTCCTAAATAACGCGGCACAAATTTAGAATTGGGGACTTGGCCCCTAGCGGAGTGGGTGGTATTTCTGGATAAGGGACGTGATAGGGAGTCGAAATGTTAAATAAAAATTGTCCGCGAACGTATGAGTAAAAAGTTATTGAGACTTAAAGTTACAACATTTCCATACATTTTCATATATTTCTTTACCACCATTCGGAGTGGGTGGTAATTTTAAATAGGGGGAGGTGACAGAGAGTCAAAATATATTAAAAATATTTGGAGGAAACGTACGAGTAAAAAGTTATTGAGACTTAAAGTTATAACATATCTAACACATTTCCATACATTTCTTTACCTAAATAAGTGATTACAACAGATAAACATACCTTTAACGAATAGTACGCATCCTTTTTTATGTACAATACATATTTTCACAACAATTAATGCTTTATTGTATTTAATATTTTAATAATTTCACAACACAAACAAAATGATCTTACATTTTGACAAAAGCAAAACTGACACTTTGTTTTATATTACCGCTTAAATGACAACAGATTATATTTGATTATTTTTGCTTTTTCTGTTGGTAAAATATTACTATTAATAAATAAATAAATAAAAAGAAAAATATTATTTTCACTTTATAAATACATTTATGACTTTTTATTTGATTTATGTAAAATATATTGTTTTACAATTGTAACATTTAGTAAAAAAAATCATTTTTTTATCTGTGAATATTTTTAATTATTTATTTATTATTCGTTCCATATCTGGGTTAGGTTAGGTTAGAACATTTAAGATTATTTATTTATTATTCCTCATATCTTGGTTAGGTTAGGTTAGAACAGTTGCCACAACGCATGAGCCGAGCGAGCGAAGCGAGCGTGCCGCGGTAGCGGCCGGCGAGTGCCATAAATGACTAGAAAACTAGAAAATTCGAATTTCACGTAAAGTACAAATAAAGACAATCATCTGGAGATCATTTTGACAATTGAAAGTGACGTTTTGACTCCAAGTGTCTAAATGGTAGTAATGTCAAAATAATGTATGGAAATGTTGTAACTTTAAGTCTCAATAACTTTTTACTCATACGTTCGCGGACAATTTTTATTTAACATTTCGACTCCCTATCACGTCCCTTATCCAGAAATACCACCCACTCCGCTAGGGGCCAAGTCCCCAATTCTAAACTGCAGCCAATAACGCACATAACTACTTACACCAACCCTACGGAAAAGGGTTGGTGCTAGTAATAATAACTAACCTTTGATGGTGTAGATTATCTTACCAAACGATATTAATCGATTAAAACTTTTTGCTGACACATAGGTATATTTTTTAATGAATTCAGTACATTTAAATTAGTAATAAAACTACGGGGAATTACAAAATATTATTGTCCAGTTAAAGACTTTGAACATGCATTTATTTAGGGGTTTTCTAATGGCGTTTAACTTCTTTACATCCATCGTTAAAAGTAACAATGAATCATAATTTTTAAAATTATTCCGTAATAATAGCTTTTGTAAATAAATATTCAAGCGGGTAAATGCAGTTCGCATTTATTCGAGTTGATGTTGTTATCGATAACCTTGAATCTTATTTTGTTGTTGATCATTCTATATTTTATATACAAGAATAATACAAATACCCACTATTATTTATTAAAATGTTAACCTTTTTTAATAAAATGTGACCTAACAACTTTTTTGTGATTATGGCATGATTTTGAACAAAATGTGTATGCATCACGAAGTATAAATTTAAATTAACATTTAGGTGTAAATACTTCATAATATTCGAACTTTTATATTCCTTTTCTACACATATTTATGTAAGTAGTGATTAAAATATAAACTGCGGTTCTAGAATAAACACGTCTGCGTGTGTCGAGTTGACTTACATACGAGTAGTTCTTTAGATTCTAGGTGAAAATTAGAGGATTTATGTTAACATCTCTAAGTTATTTTTAACACGTTCTTACATTTTCCATGAGTCTCGTAACATGTTACGAAATTTAAGATATTCAGCCTTGGCCCTAGTAATAAATTTAAGAAATAAATTAATATCTATGTAATAATTTACATTCTATTGATGGCTAATTTGAATATACTCAAACTCAATTCGTTGATTAACACTCATAATTTGTAAATTAACCCTGTCCTAAATACCCACTTTGTAGTATATTAATTTAAAATACTATTGATTGAAGAACTAAATGGTTTCAATAAACTAAAAAAAAAGAAAAAATAGTTCCGATATATTACCTAAAGAATGATTTGTTGACAAATTATTATTTTAACATATTATAATGAAACTATCTATGTATAGTATTATGTTATGGAACTCGCCACACTACTGTTTTGAACGTGAAAGTTGTGTGTATGTACAAGTAACACTTGTTCACGATCAAACGGTTGGACGGATTTAGATGTTTAGCAAATTTAGGGTACCTAGTTACTAAACGGCTTATCCTACTGCATAATATTATATTCCTTCGTCAATTTGTTTTTATCTTTTTAGTTCGCTTTTTACACAGTTGCGTTTTTATTTTTGTAATATTTTTTTTGTATTTGAACCTAATTCATATTAACAGATTTCTGTTATTTTTTGGTTTATTTTAAATGCAAACTCCGTGGCAAATCCGACGCGGAAACGGTAGTTGAAAAGACTTGGTTTGGCCTTCTCGTTAGGTGTTTTTATTTGTTTAGAATTCGAAGATACTTACCACCAGCAGCGCAACCACATATGAACCACCCCCAAATGTCCTATTTTAAAATCATAAATTATTTCCGCCATGTATTGATATTATTAGGTGTGAGTAATTAAAACATCTAATACGCATTAATGTGATAGTCTTTAATTTTTTTTTATTTGGTCCGTAACTTATTTTACCTGATCTCCTAATAGCATTCTAAACAAAACCTAGATACTTTATGCATTATTTAAGTGGTACATTATAACCTATTTGAAATTAACAGATAGTAAGTGCTAATACAAAATAGAATATCTTCAGACTAAATTTCAGCGTAAAGAGATAAATTAATATTACTTTCAAAGTTTCGCATTTATATCTTTTAGTAAGATAGTCTGGCCGAAAAACATTGCTCGTCGCTAAGTTTTAATATACTCGTATTTCGACGATGCATATGTAGCTTGTAGCTTCCTGTATTTTACGGCGCTACGTTAAAAACAAAACGTGCATAACTAGACGATTTTTATTTCCTAGATTTATAACTCCTTGTAAAATTATCTAAAAATTTGTACATAATATATTTTCATTCAATTCGATTCTCTTGTGTAATGGCTTCAAAGCGTTGAGTTGTTGAGCACAATAATTATGTTCAAATACCAATTAATATTAATCTATATTTTAATACTAATGTTATATTCTTAATTCTTATGTAAATAGTAATTTGCATTCTGAATGATTTTTCCATATCTTTCAGGGTGTTGCTGCTATGGACAATGACTTTTCACACGCCAGCGCAAATATCACAGATGGTGGCGTTGGTTTCTCATATGTCACGGTAAGGATGAAGAGTCAAAGACATCATCCTTTGAACTTTGAGGTCGAAATATACGTGTAACAGACTTAATAGTGAACTCGAATTGTGAATAAGATTTAAAGTATAAGAGTGAATTAATGAACGAAAAACAAAGCTATAAATGACAATCTAAACGTGTGAAGTAATAAGCTACGAGTATACGGTATTTTAGGAATATCTAAACTTAAAAATTTTCTATGATAATTTTAATAAATGTGTTGGAAGTATATTTTTAAAACAGTTTTGTAATTTAATAAATCAGTTGTTGTAATTTTACAAAACATCCAGTTTTGTAAACTTCAAATAAATTCATTGTAATATGAATTACAATATTAGTTTGTTATTTTAGTTAAAATTCTAATAAATAGAACAGCAAGCAATGTTTGTAAATAAAGAACTTTCTCGATGGGTAACCGAAAAAACTGTTTTATAAAATTACAACACGTGTATGGTTTATACATAAGATTTGTAAAATTACAATTAATTTTTGTGTCATGTTTGTGTACATTAGTTTGTAATTTTGCTTAACCATTGTTTTGTAAAAATATTGTAATTTCACAAATAATTTTATTTTATTGGATTATGCCCTTTATTTATACAATCATCAAAAATACAATTTTAGTTGTTATTTTATATGATTATTTGTTTATTTGCATTCGTTAACAGTTCTTAATAATATTTACAGTACAGATACGGAAAATAAATAAATAATCTGTTATCATCTACCTTCAAATTGTGTTTAAAATAACTCATCTATTTTTGATGCTCGATAACGAAGTTTGCATATTGATTAACTCTTTGTAATTTGGTAATTCTGCTACGTTTGAAACGTCACGTTCCTCCTTTGGGCATACTATGTAGTTACAATATCACTGTTCAAATAGTTAATTAATAACCGATATGTGAGTGTTAACTGAATCTCAACATATTGTTTACATATTCTGTTACGTCTTAGACGTTGCCATACAATTACACTACTATTCTGACTTGTTCATACTTTTAGTTCATTTATACTTAGACAAATTATTTATAAATATAGGAAGTCAATTTTATTATTCTACATGGTTACCGATTGGCATTTTGTTTTGACGACACATTATAAAGAGTATTTTAAAACTATTGTGAATTGATTCACTAAATGCTATTATTTACGCATTTGATGATCTATTACAAAACATTTGCTTACACAAGTAAGTTTGCGTAGTAAGCAATGTGGCAACACATTGACACTATAATTAGACTCTTCCTACTAATTTACTAATATTGAACAAGTCATCTGTTGAAATGTGCTAAATAGAAGTCGTAATCGTATTTACTTAATATTAAATGTAATTTGGTCTTCGTTCATGTATTTCTAAAAGGTATAAAAGTTATTGTATTTTATTCAGCCCTTTTTAACATCCCTCTGCTGGGCACGGCCTTCCCTTCAATATGAGGGGATCAGGCCATAGTCCCCCACGCTGGCCAAATCCGGTCTGGCGAACTTTACATGTCTTTCGAAAACGTGCCAGGTTATCTCAGACATGCATTTAATCACACTTCACCGTAAGACAAGTGGAAAATTCATGTTTAAAGTGATTCGAATATAAAAATATCCGAGGTGCCAACCCGAATTTTGAACCCGCTTCACTCGGATTCGCAAGCGAGCGCATTACTACTAGGCAACCACTGCCTTTATTTATCCGTATAATATTTCAAATAAATAACAACATTTTTGTGTGACACAACACTTATATCATGCAGTTATATTCCAGCCTAAAAATATAATATTTTTAACCGTAAGTTAACTCAATCGAGAACCAATGAAGAATTATGATTTTACTATGTAAGCTAATTATTTTGTATCTACGCATATAAAAGTAAAAAGGTATGTATAAAACGTGAATTTGTACGTGTAATTAGACACACGATGTTAGGTCGCGGTGAGGCTAATGCAATATATAATAATATAATACTGTATTGTTAGCACACGTTGCTTAAATGGCCAACCACAGACATTCCAGCTTATGTTTCAACGAACTATTCTATTTTATTCTAGATACATAATATGTTGTTTTGTTTATCATATCCTTTAATATATAGCTTCCTCTACGCGTTGCATTCGTTCGTAGGTCCATATCTCATATTACTAAGTGTTTCAAATGAATGGATTGTAATTTGTAAATATAAATTAAGCCATTTTGGAGATTTTTATGTGTATAAACTATATAGTTATTAAATATAAATTATATTATGAAAATGATTCTGCTGTATCGTAAATGAAATAAGATATGAATAGAAATAAATATATTACAACATATATCGGAGTTTTATTGTTGTTTCTTAAATATTTACTAAAATTACTTTGTCTGAATTATTTATATTATATTTAATTGATGTACTATTTTTATAATATTTTTTTGTTTTTTTTTTTTTAAATTTAAAATCACTCAATACATATTTTACATTAAAAAAGACATTAAAAGTACGCTACATAACTTCACAATTTTCATTAACTATTATTTCCTCGTATGAGTTTAAAACTTATAAGTTATAACATACTGGAGGACCCGGCAACGTATTGCTCAGGCATACTTATAATTTTTTTTTTCTTTCGCTTGGGAGTAGAATTTGTAGCTCAGGGTAGCCGTTTCTCAGGTTCTCTCTCCGGAATCCCGGTATGAAAATCGTAAATTTTACAATAAAAAAAGGAAATAATCGAAATAAAAACTAACTTATCTCTTAAGTTAGAACAAATCCCACAAAAAAATACGTTAAGATCGGATAAGTAGTTTCGGAGTTCATCGCGGACTTTTATATATAGAGAAGATATTTTCAGGCTAACACCCATCTACAAGTGGGAAGTGGAAAGAGAATATTGCTTGATACGATTGTCGTTGGACAATTTCGTTGGGAATTATGATATTTCGTAACACTTTGTTTTATGATTAGAGCTTGGTTTATAAATTACGTGTAACATAAATGTTTCATAAGACTTGGCCATATGCATGCAATTTAAAATAAGTGAGGTGATCGTTAATATATATATATATAAAATAAAATCATAAACTCAAATAAAATCAGTGACTGCCATTACTGTATCCAACATGTTACGATTAACACAAGCGAACTTTGGCGGATATGGAACATATTACGGACATATCCGTACTAATATTATAAATGTGTGTGTTTGTTTGTCCTTCTTTCACTTCGAAACGTAGTGACAGATTGGCGTGATTATTTGTATGGAGATAGTTGTAGAAATTTATCCTATAAGCCGCGGATTCTGCTAGTAATGCATATATGTATGCAAAGTGTCAGATTACGAAATACGACGATCGTTGAAAGTTAAACGATCAATTTTATCAATAAATTCTTGTAAAACATAAAAAATACATAAAGGATATTTTTTGCTTAATACCTAACTAAAATATATTTTCAGTTCTCTTTACTTTTGTAATATCCAACTTTCTACTATAGCATAAAGCAAGAAGATAAAGTAAAAATATATGAAATGTATCTGCAAAAAGTGTAATAGTATTAATGGAAGGCAAAATACATTTGGACGTACAAAGCGAAAACGGCTTACGATGCCAGGTTTTTGCGGAAGGCGCCCATAATAAATCAGACAAACCGACATTGGTCACTTCGTGGAATGAGAAAATTGGATATGTCAGTACGAAAAGGATGAGTTTACTTTAAATTTATGAAAGTTGGTAAAGTAATATTGTTAAGTCAAGTAAATAATAACTGCTTGTCTATTTTAATTTTAGATAATACATTTAAGAAAAAAATCCTATATTACAAATATATTTTTTTCATAATTTATACATGACATGTACATTTACACATAAAAAAAATGATAACGAAAAAATATAAATGATACATGTAGTCGGGTATAAAATATGAATAAAATTATCAGTAACATTTTTTTGTAATAGATGAAGCAAAAAATAACAAGAATTACAACACTAATTTTGTATAGTAGGTTAAATCAAAATTACATAAATCTGAATTGAATAATATTAATAATTAACTATTATTTACATAATATATTACTACCTATCGTTTATTTCATACCAATATAAATAAGGTTACGATGTCTATGGCATCATATTGAAAATTAAACATTACGAATATAAAGTATGGTCGACTTAAGAGCCCTCTTCTGTACTTCCTACTCTTATAACATCTTTTATTTCACTGATAGGTTTTAGTTCATTGATATCATAAATATTATAATTAAAATATACAAAAGCGCTATTTTCACCGTATAAAAGACTACACGTTAAAGGCTTACGTAGTACTCAACGTTGATACTCTAATATACGTATAATCAAGAAATATATCAATGTCAATTTTGCTTTTATGCTGAACTAGTGACCATCCGTTGTATTTTTTTTAGAATAAATTGATGTTCTTAAATTGCCAAGGGAATCACCTTAACAATAATTAATAATAATACCAAAGTAAAAAGTTAACTCTATGTTACCCTTCGGCTCATAAGCTATTATTCATACATACATAATACATATAGAATAGACAATATTTAAAAAAACAACACTTTTCCTTTGTCAGAATTTATAGTTTTTATTTATTTATAACACTTTATTGCACATGAAAATTGTACCTATTTAGAAAATACAATTAAAGAAATGTGCAAAGGCGACTTTTTCACTAAAAGCGATCGCTTACAGGCAATCGATCGATCAATAGAAAAGGATAAAAAAAATAAGTGAAAAGAGCGGAAATAGCATAATAGAATAAATTGCAAGTCATTAAAACAATATAAATAAACATACATAAAAAGTTACATATATAAAATACTAATTAGTTTGCTGTTTGAATAATAAAAAAAAACTTAATAACAAAATGTTTTCGTTATTAAAGTCATTATTTAGTAGGTCTGGGCCACCGAGTTTCGCTCTAGTTAGTAGGCGCTCTTTTTAGTTGTTTTTTTTTTAAATTGTGTTTTATCAGAAAAGATCCACCTGTATAGATTAACTTAAAAGGCAAAACCTTATCTAAATACAAAATTTTATTCAAATTGTTACACGCAT